CAGTTCAGACTGACACTCTTTGAGTGAGAGAAGCCAAATCTATCTTCTGGCTGTCAGCCTGAAATGCCAAGAGGCTGCTGTGTCCTGCCTGCAGGCAGCCATGATGTTCCTAGGGAGCCACGGGAACTGGAATGGGACAGACGTTACGTAGCTGAGGAAAGGGAACATTAAGACATATAAACAAGGAGAAAAGCAGTGAGAGCCAGAAGATGTAGACAAAAGGGTTGGAAGTGGCATCCTTCCTTGAAAAATTACTTGGGTCATAACTGCATAGGTCTGAGAAGAATGTGTGTTTGAAACCATTCACGGTTCTCCCCATCCTGAGTCTTGTTGTTGTTGCTTTGAAGAATGGTGATTTTACAGTAAATAAACTGTGTTAACCCCAAAGTCTTTTCCTCCCTCTCTGTGCCAGAGGAAGCTAAGTTTATCCCAAGCGTTTTCAAAACCACATAGCACTTGAAGGCACAGTAATATGTGGGGTCAGAAGCTTTTAAATAAAAGCCAGTTAGAGCTTCAATCCATCTCCACCTCATTTTTTATTTTCACTGCATTCTCTGAAAGAAGCCTGTCTCAAACCTACACATTTTAAAAGGCTGCCTGTTCTTTCCACAGATTTTGCAGCTTTCAGCTGTTATGCCTCCATAAGATTATACTTTGCATCTACTGATAAACATCATAGAATTAAACTCCCACAGAGACACCAATAGCACTTGGCCAGACAGAATCTTCAGAAAACTACTTGAAATTATTTGCCAGAAAACTAATTTCCTAGTGTTTTAGAGCAAATCTCTCCACAAATAACAGATTCCTCAGCTACTGTGGTTTTGGGTCTCTGATTTCTTCCTGTACTTGATGCAAATTGTATCTCTTGAATTTTTGCTCAGTTCAGCACCACATCCCTTAAACTTTGCCTGTGTGACATGCTGGGGTACCAGAGTTAGGGCTAAATGTCAGGCTCTCTTCTCAATGTAAAGCAGCTGTAAAGGATGGAAAACTTGGACCACAGAACTACAGAAAACTTAAAGGTTAAGGTTTTAAAATAGGTATTTGCTTTACTATCTTGCCTTTGTCAGGTCCCTGTCGTACATCTCAGAGTGTAGTCTGATATTTGACATTAGTGAATTTCACTTTCTGAAGAAATGCAGCACAGAAGAAAATCTTAAAGCCTGAGTCTTCTTCATTGTATGAAAGAAGGCCCCCACGGCAAGCCTTTCTCTCTTTAAGCCACCCACTTTCTATCATTTATAAAAGACCAAGAGCCACAAAATCAGCCAAAGAGTGCAATGTCCCCCCCAGATGTCCAAGGCATGTTTCTTACTCCTGCTTATGTATTCATTTCCCATTCTAATCTGCAATTAAAAAGCAGGCCAATTATCTTACTACTTTTCCTTCCTTTCCAGCCGTGCCAGAGATGGAGTTGGCAGAATTCCCAGGCTGAGAGGAATAGAATATATCAAAAGAGGTTGTCTGTATCTGAAGCCTTGGTTTGTTCCTTTACTCTTTGCTAACTGCCAGCGTACAACCGGTAAGCCACATATATGAAGGTTGCCAGAGGAGGACAACAGAGCTTTATGAATAAACACTTATCCTCTAGTTTCAGAAGCTTGTGACTTCTATTTCAACATGAACATGGATTTATTCCATGTTGGCATGCCCATATTTTGCAGTTCTGCCCAGCAACCAGGAGTATGTAGGAACAAGTGCTCCTCTGCACCCAGTTTATTTTGGTTGGTATGGATAGCACCCAACCCACAAATAAGCACAGGAGAGGATTTTTGTCTCTGATCTTAGCAGCATTTATAATTATGATACTTCTTTATACACCCAAAAATTCAACTAGATAAACAAAAATGTGATCAACAATTTTCCAAAGCCAAAAGTCTGCAGAACAGTGCAAAGCTGTCAACAGGCCTTTTTTGCTTTTGGTCATTCATATAGTGTATTAATTCTCCTTACAATTAAAAAGGATATTACTGTGCCACACAGTACTTTTATATTCAAATCAGATTAAAAGTATGTCAAAGTACTTGTTTTTTACTTGAATTAATAAGGCATAGTCTAATTTGAAAGCACAAGTGCTTTTGTTTAGCATATTTAGGAGAGTAGCCAAAAAAATGTTATTAAAGGTTAGCATGGGAAATTTCAAAGAATGTCTGTGGGAAAAATATTAACTTGTACTTCAGATATTTTGTGTTTTAACCTCCTCACCCCAATTTCAGAATTCTTATTTTCAGGTTTTTTGTTTTGCTTTCTTTGTCATTCACTGCCTCACTCCAGTAAGGAGAAAAGCATGTGTTTTCCACAGCTTCCTCCATGTAGGAAACAAGATAACCCTCAAAATGCGAAGAGCGAGATATCATCATCTCTCTTCTGCTCTTTCCTATGAGCAGCAAGGAGTGACAATAGAGAGAGAACTTCTGGCATCCTATTAAAAAAAATACCTAAAAATAGAAAACCAAAACTCCTTGAATTCACAGTTGCTTCAGTTCAACTTGTAAAATCCAAACTGATTATTAAAAAAATCCATCAGAACATTTCTCATATGTCAATATATTTTTCATATATGCACTGTTTTTTTTTTTCAACCAGAAGGAGTTCTGGTTATGGGCTGTACTTGGAAGCTTGGCCATCAGAGGAAGCCCTCCCTGCTCCAAAACGCTACCTGGCTTTCAAGGAACCTCTCTGTGTGCAGGATAATGCCTCCAGCATCCCAGTCCATATCAACCCTGCCTTTCCAGAGAAGCCCTTCTGATGGGAAATTGCAGATTTCCTTGGTCAGTTAGATGAATATTTGTGGACCTCTATGCTCCTATCAGTCGTGGTACCTCTCACTGTGCTAGCCTCGCTGTGCAGTCCAAGATAGCCACTGCTTGAATTTTTTTTCATCTCAAGACACAAAATACGTGCTTGGACATCTATTGTTCTTCCACAAAATATCACCTCCCCAGAAAAAAATGCCCACCCTTGATGAGTCCATTTTTCTCGAAGATTTGTATTAGCTGCATGGAAGAAGGTATTTGCCAATAGGAAAGTGAAAAGCAATCCCTTAGCCACCCCTTCAAATATTCCACAAGACCTGTAGGTGATCAACAAGTTTTAGTGGAGAGCTAAGGGCCTGCCAGGGAGAGGTAATGCCACAGGTTTGCTCCCAGCAAAATAAGTGACCCCTGGCAGGGCTAGGTGTGTTCCCACTCATCCACCACTTCCCACTGTTCCTCAGACATGGAGTTGCAAGGAAGCCACAGCACCCAACCATATTATAAAGCCAGGCAGGTTCTGTGGAGAAGGCCCAGTCTGCGTGCAGATCAAGAGAGTTCTCTAAGAAACAAAAGGAAGTAAAAATCTAAAGGGTGCTGTACTCAGCACCACCTTTTATTTCGAGATATCACAGTATTAGTTACCTTAGCAAGGGGAGGTTGAGGCTAAAAAAAGGTTTTTAAAAGGAAAAATCAAAACCCAAAAAACCACCCAACTGTTGCTTAACAAAAAAAAAAAAAAAGGCACAAGGTACAAGTCAAGAATTTAAAAAGAAGAATCTTCCTGCTCAAACTACAGGCAACAGATCTCCATCACCTCCTTGCACAAGAGTCAAGAGAGGTATTTTATGGGTTCTTCAGGACCTAGGTCCAGCCACAGGAAACTGCCCTGAAGAAACCCCCTGAAGGGAGTGAAGTAGCATTTTTCTGTGTAAAACAGTCCTGAGCAGCAACTCTTCCTGCTTTATTACTGTCTTCATCTCATAGAATTAAAGGTTGGAGTTCTCCATGTCCATGAGCTGCAGGTTGCTGGTATCATGTTGCACCATGCATTGCGATGGCCTGTGATAAGCATTTAGCGAAAAGATTTCAGGTTTTTTAAGTGTCAGCTGGCCTGTGATTTTATCTATTAAGCTATTGTGTTCAGAGGAACCCGCAGCCAGGCATGGACCGTAAGAACAGGCCTATAACAGATACAGGTTTGTCCTGTTTTCCTACTTCTTGTTACCCTACCCCCTGTAAATTAACAACACTCTGCTAAAATACCGAGGGCAGAAGGTGAACAATAGTCTGTGGGCTCAAACTTGCTGGGAGCCAACAGAAATGTTACTGAGTGCTTACCAGACTCTGTGCTATGTCCTGCCTCCAGCTCCATGAGGAGACCCCATCTCCCTCTTTGGCTCTTTTTGGCATCAATCGCCAGTCAGACAACTCTTCCTCCTTCATTGTGCCTCTGTTGTGGGGCTGGAGGAAAGTGTAGAGTTCGGCTACCCTTACCCCAATCAAGACAGCATCCACCTTTCCCTGCTGTGCCCATGGGTCTCCCCACTCTCCTAGCTCGTGCTTCATTGATGTCACTCAGTTGCTGAAAACCCAAGGTTCAGTCTCTTCCTCCTCAGGCTGAGGTTGTCCCAGTTTCTTCAGATGGCTCCAACTCTATCACAGGCATCACAAAGTCATATTTTGCTCCCCTTTAAAGCAGGTAGTTAGCTATTTTCCAATGTGTTTTAAGGAAGCTGCTGGAGTTGAAGGACTGCAAATACTTCTTAGCCTGCAAAATGGTGAGCACTGCTACTCGAAATCTTGTGAAAATTCATAAACAGTTACTCAGATATTTTAATAGCTCTGGCATGAGATTCAGATAGCAGTCATAAATGTCCATTTTATTTTATCGCAATATTGATTAATTCTAACACTTCCCATCTCAGTGAATCTTCTTTAAAAGCAGCCCCCTGATAAAACACAGCCCCTAAAATAAACTTCAGTTTATCTTTTAACAGCTGTCCAAAATCCACATCGAATAATACTTTGCTATGCTGCATCTAATTGAAGACCAGATGCCATTGAACTGAAGTCATCAATACTCCATACAAGTTAAGACATCTGCTTGCATAAAACTTGCTTTTTTGGCTCCTTATCTTCCAGCTCTTTGGACCAGGACCAGTCTCATTTGTGAGGTGGATTACAAGTGTAGGTAGTTGTAAAAAGAAATCTCGATTACCATTCTTCTCATGACACAGAGGATAAATTGTAAAATTTTTATTGCAAAATATTAAAATAAATTACATTTTACAAAGACTTAGCAAATATTTACATACAGTGTGATTCCAGTGACAATCAGCAACAAAGACAGACAGACAGGCATATTATGGAGTGATAAGAGTCAGAGCTGTACAAACTTCAAAAGCCATATGAAAGACAAGCTGATTTTTAAAAGTTAAGTCCATCACAAATGGAATGAATCCCACGAGGCACAAAAATTACAAGTCTAAAGCAGAGTTCTTTTATTTAGGTCAACAGACTTGTATATTGCTCTTTGCTCTCCTCATCAGTCGTGCTTGTCTGTCGCTACACACTCTCCCAGATCAACTGGAGGAAATATAAAATCTCAACATATACAAATGCGTCACCATGGATCTGTTATCAGTCTGGTTTTACTTCTGCATGCTTTGTGATATCCATTGCCAGCAACAGATTCACGCATCATTAGTTCAGAAAAATTTAACACTCCAATTTTGTATTTCCTCAGTGATTTCGTACCAGTGTATCAGATGTGTCAGATTGCCTGATGCAAGACAGGTATCTGAAAATGATGTCCTTCTGGTAAAAAGAGGCTTCAGTAACACAATACAAAACCAAGAAGTGTCACGATGATGTCACGAAGGATGGGGTCACATAGTCTGCAGCACTTAAAAGGTCTTTTGTAAGAACCGACTTCTGTGGTCACATTTCAGGATTTTTTATTTTTTGGAAAAAAAAAAATAATTTAAAGTACTGGCTCATCTTGGCAAAATTAGTAAGTGGACCCATCTTTCACAGGATGTGACTGGAAATACAACTACTTGTAGGCAATAAGTAGAAAAGAAGAGTTTCCACTGCCATTCCATCCCTTCCTTACATGTGCTTTTAAGCTTTTTTTCATTTCCTTTTTTAATAATTCCCCTTTCCTCTCTTTCCAGGAAGAGATCTGTTTCACCTGTAAGCCCAACTCCACAGCATCAAGAAAAGTGTTAACACTATCAGTTAACCAAATGAAATCTTAATTGACATCCAAAGAAAATGCTTCCAGATCGACCAGATAATTGAAATAATTACAAGACATAACCAGTAGCACTAGGAATTCATTCAGAGGCAGTTTTGAGGCTGAACAGATCAAAACCCAGCCTGGCCACCCCTTTAAGTCACTACACAAGAATCTGAAGGCAGAAAGACATTAATTTAGATCCCCCAGGCAGCTGCTTTTCTCAAGACATGGAAGACAGGCAGGCAAAAAGCTGTCTTGCTTAGCACTTCGGCAGTTCTGAGATGGCACCATAATTTTAAAATCCCTGGGAATGGTTCAGGTTTTGGAGAGAGCCAGTATGAAGGCTACGCGCCAACTAAGCCACTCCAAAACACTGAAACAAGTAGGGCTTAATGAGACCAATTGTGTTGGCCCCTGTGTAAAAAGGAATTTTTTTCTCAGTGTTACGATTACATTAAGGCACATGGTGGGATATCTTGAGAACAGTTTTGTGAGGTGCGATCATGTTTCCCCAAAAAAGTGGGAATATTGTAGTTTGTTTTAATAAATTTAAACTATTACTTTAAATCCCATGATACTTATTATGCTGACTTATAGTCTATGCTGACTACACTGGGAAAGGCCAAAGAGCCACATCTAGCTTGATAATATGAAACAGATCCCATCTATTCTCAGCTCTGGCGTACAAGTGCACTTCGCTATGGAGAACAGAGTCTGGGTTCCAGTGTGCAACATCCCCTCCCAATCAAAGCAGCCCAGCCAAGTGTCTGGGTTGTATTATTTCTGTATTAAAGAGAATTTTTTCCTTTTTTTTTTTTTCTTCAAATGAAGATTGGACTATATTTTTCCATTTCACGCACTTTCAGCAAGTCTTTTCTCTCCTCATTGTCCTGTAGCTCTCTAATTGTTACTAAAACTTTAATCTTCGCGTCAATAATGGAAGACAAGCTGGAGGACAGCAAAAGCTATATGGAGTGCTTGCTCTATTCTTTTAAGTTAATATGCACTTTTTTAAACAAAAAATATATATAAAAAAAAGGCTGGACTTGCTACACAAGCATTCTGTGCATCATGCAAGTAGTCTTTACCTACTGTTTCTTACAGTTACAAGGCACAGCTGTCAACCACAACCCTTCAGATATATACAAATACTTGAAGGGTTTGGAGTCATTTTAAAACAGTGGGGATGAAGGGAAGCTATCAGAAGGAAGTAAGAGCCTTCTTGATACGGCCTCTTCCTCTTTCTTGTCAGATACAAGCAAATACATCCAAGCACCCCTACTCCAAATTGCATTGATATAATAAAATTTTCAAAAGAGAATTCTCTCTTCAGCGATACTGTCATAAATTACAGATTAACTACCACATCCAATTATGTTGATCCCACATTTTTGTAGTATAACAGAGTTGGCCCTAGCCTTGTGTTCACTTTTTTTATTTGAAAAAATGTCATATATGTGGAAAATTCCAGGAAAAAAAGAAAAGACCAGTAATGACAGTCCCTCATTTCTCAGTAGATGACTTCAAAACACTATCCAACCAAAGTGCCAGTTTCCCACACATCCTCCTTCTTCTGCTGAAGAAGCCAGATGCAGCCAATATTTGCAGTTATTAGAAATAGCTAGTAATTCAAGATTGGCATTGCAAGATTCCGTAGGCTCTTCTTACAGAGTTAGTGAGTCTGCCAGCATTATACTGAAAATGAGAATGAGACAACTTTTAACTGTTCACTGAACTTTGGAAAACTTCGGACATACTGGAATGACTTAAATACTCTAAAACTAAACAAACAGCAGAACGTGACGTGTTAAGGTTCAAAGGTCTTAGCTATTTTTTGTTCCAAGTATGTTGGATACAACTGAAGTCCGTACCTTTTGCCAACATGTAATCAAGAGCCTCATTTGAAAGAGCTGTCAGGGTTAATGCACAGATATGGAAAAAGGAAGAAAAATAAAACCACGGTAAAATTTTCTTTGGAGCCAAAATAATTTGGGCATAAATACTATGAACAGACATATTTCTGCCTAATGAATAGCCCATCTCCAAGTCAAAAGATAATACTTTCAGAAGCTTAGAGCCAAAGTTCCTTTTAAAAAAAGTGCCTTATGGCCTGAAGTCACTTGATCACATCTCAATTTGCCCCAAGGTTTGATATTGCCCAACCTTCTTTAAAGTGGGATAGTATAACCATTGTATATGCAAACAGGACAAACTCTAAAAAACCTCCCAAATATGCGAAGTGTAATCAATTGTTTCAAAAATCATCTCCCATTCAAGTCTAGTCTGAAGTACCAAGGCAGGGAGGAACATCAAACAACAATACTGACTAACACACTGCACAGATCAGCAGCAGTGCTACAGTCCCTTCTGACAGGCATTAGGGCATTTGGAAAATATCTGTGCCTCCCAAGGTGATTTTTTCCTAATAAGAACAGTGTCAATAAAACTTCACCTGTACACAGATACTGTATAAGGTTCATTCAAGTATTTCCTTTAGGAAATGGACAGTGGAAGGACACTTTCAACATTAAAAAAGTTCATTGCATCCTGCTTGTGCTCATACATGTTTTGATCAATAAGTCTTCCAGTCACTTCATTCTAACAGTTCTGGGGCTGATGTACAGTTTAGCAGCCCAATTGGTAAGCTTCCTCCTAGATGATTCTTCCTTGTTAGAGGGCTCCTTCTCAATCCATTCCTTTGGAATTTTTCATTTTAGTATTTTATTTATGAAATTAGAATTGACTATAATTTAAGAAGCACTGAAATATTCTTGACAGGTGTTTCAGAAACTTCCTTCTCAGTCTGCCAGTGCACCTCAGCTCAGATCTTCTCGCTAAGCATGGCCAGGCAACCCCCTTGATTTCATTTGTGATCAAAGCAGGATTCAGAAGTGAAAGGCTAATGGAGTAACCGAACACATTTGATGCTCAGAACAGTCTCTGTGCCACAGTATAGTTACATTCCCAAACCAGTTCCTCAGCGAAATGCATGAACCCAGAGCAGGTCCAGTGTATTAACTAGTCTTTTTGTCCTACGTTGTTCAAGAACCATAAAGTCCCAAGAAGGAGTGGGACTCCAAATTCAACTGTTATTTTACAAGTTTTTCAGAAAAACAAAGCTGACGGGCTCAAAGCCAACTTATGATGGGAAAAGGAAACTGGAGTTTCTTAGTTTGGGACTTGCTTTTGTTTTCAAAGAGACAGGAGAAGCTGTAAAAACATACTTTTCTCCTTGCTCTGCTATATGTTCTTTATGTACTGACCACTTCCCAAAAACCACTGTCAAACAAGATTCACGTGGCAGCCTTCACATTGCTTACTGTATTATATTCGTTCATCAGTTGTTCATAAGGCACAGAAAGTTCTAGCTCGTTATTAGTAAAGGTAGATTCATCAGAGGATGGGAATTTTACCAGTTTTTTTGCAGTTTCAGATTCCTCTGCAAGATTATCATCCATGGAGGATTTTGACGTTTCTTCATCATCTGAGATATCTTCCTCTTCATCATCATCTTCATTTACAAATGTTATATTGGCGTTCTCAAATATTAAGGGTCGATAGTCTCTGGAATCCCACACTTCGCCTTCTTCTTCACTAATCCTGTCCAGCTGGTTTACAAACATGGTTCCTTCTAAAGGGCTGTCTCCCATACGTTTATCATGCAGGGGTCTCAGTACGTGACCATTCTGAATGTCCAGGGAAGCCTCATCATACTCAAATGACTCTGTCTTTGTGTAAGTCACCTGAACATCTATACTGGCATTCATTTGTTTGGCATTTTCGACTATCATCATTTTGTCATTTGTTTTCAGGGCCTTCTTCCCAATTTGCTTTATAAGATCATTGTAGGTCTCTTCCTTCTTTGAAAGAAAGCTGAAAATGTTGACATCCTTTGAGGTACCCATTTGAAGGGGTTTTTTAGACCGAGGATGGTTGTCAAATGACTCTTTTCTTTTTTTCCTCCGTTTCTTGATTGCTTTGTGGACTTCCACAAACATACTGACCTTCCAGTTAACGAAGAGCGAAAGCCAAGCTAATCCCAGATAGATCCATAACTCCACAAAATATCTGTAAAGGGAATGATAGTTTGCATCTGGATTTACACCTACAAGGAAGTAAAAACGAAAACATTACCGAAAGAAGACTCGCAGTTGATAAACCTTTGAGGTTATGACCCTGAGAATTACTCCCTTCCACACTAATAGAGCCTACTTGTTTGAACACTGCTCTGAGAGGTAGCAAGTGGGGAGCAAGTTGATCCCATGTCTCCCACTTTCCTTGGCCGCAGGTATTCTGACCACTGGACGAACAAAAAAGCCCCAGCAGCGTATTTATCCTCGCCTTATAAACTACAAAAGTGAACATTTTCCTTGCTGAAAATTCCAAGTCTCATCCCTGCCACTGAAGTGTGTGTATACGTACCAGCCTTGAGAAACAGATTCAGAATTTCACTTACAAGGACCACCTTCAAAGCCCTGGACAAAGTAGTGGATTTTAGAAAAGAAAATGTTTAGGAGGGAGGCTTGAGTATGCTCAGCATTTCCCATTGACTAGTTCTAGACAGCTGCATTGCCCAGTACCTACACATCCTGCTTAGGATACTGGATCCTATCCAAAGGTGCATAACTATCATGATGGATAGGATAGCTCTTTGCCTGACAGACCGACCTGGGGCACCTGAAAGACTTACAAACTTGGCTGCAGACTTAGCCCAATAAAGGCCTTAGGTATCTACACCAAGACTTAAGAGCCAGATCTAGTCCATTGGATCAATATCCAACTTTAATTGAATGTTCTACTCAGCAAAATGTTTTGGAAAAGCTTAGGAAACATCTTTTCAAATTAGAGTTTTCAAACACAGAATTGCCACACTATGCACGTAATGATATACTACATAAAATACAATTACTGACCAGCAACAAAATCTCCAAATCCTATGGTGGTGATAGTGATGAATGAGAAATAGAGGCCTTCAATGTAACTCCATCCTTCAGTCACCATAAAGACAAATGGAGGAATAACCAGATGGACCAAGACACCCCAAACAATGAAAATGGCCGTGCATGTAATTTGTGCTTTCCTCTGTAAAGAAAAAAGACAGAAAAAAGTCAGGAAAAGATCTCAATTTTCTTTTCCTGTCCATGGCACCAAGAATTATCTGACAGTACCAGACATTTCAGATTTTTGTGCTAACCATTTAGCTACCATAATTAAAAGTCACTAAAAGTGACTGAAGTAAACACACTTTTTTTTTCTTTAGGCAGAACTCTGTATTCTTACAACTACTTGCTCAAAAAGGATTATTTCCTCATAGTTTTCTTTCACAGTCATGGAAAGTTTAAGGAGTCCCTGATATTTTATAAACAGGCATGGGATATGGACATAGTGCTCTAGTCTAAAAAGCAGTCAATACCTCTAACTTTCCTTTTATTCATATGAATATAGAAGATCAGAAGTGTTTTAAGATGCTTCTCTCCTATTTCTGGCTCCTTCCCTTTGCCACTCATGCAACCTCTGTACAAACCTGCACGTCTCCATGCATTTCACTACTATTTTCTGTACTTGCCTCTCAGTCCTTGCTCTGTTTCTGAAACCAGGATTCAAACTAGACCCACTGTCCTCCAGGCACTATGGCCCTGCCTTGCCTCCCATTTCTGTGCAGTTAGAACTGGGAATTCAGAGTGGAGGAGGGAGAGGAAATAAAAAACCCTCCACCAAAAAAACAACAAAATGCCACAAATGAAACACCCACAAGCCATAACTCAGAACAAAAGTGTTGTTTTCCAGTTGGTTCACTGCACAGCAGGAAGTACTCATGCTAGGTGGGAACAAAGCAGGACAGCTTATTTCTGTGCCCCTGGGGCTTGATTGAAATGTCTGTGAAACGGAGCCTCACCAACATTTGTCCTAAAGGTTTCTAATGTAAGGAGATACACTTAGTACTAAAGGTTTCTATGAGACTTTATTTGCTAAAACTTCCTCCTGAACTAACTCATCAGACCCAACCCCCCTTTCAGTTATTTCTATTCAACACCATTTGGGAAAATTCGTGTTTGCGCAAGTGTTCATTTAGAAGATGAGCAGGTAACTTAAGAAATGTAAGCTTAATTCATGCATCAAAAATACACAGTTCAAGGGTAAACAAGTAAGAGCCTTACCAGGCTCACTCCTCTTTTCGTCAGAAACTGGCCCAGCCTCTTGGCACGTCCTCCAAAGAACTTCCCCAGAGCACTGATCCACGTCAAGCAGAGAGGAACTCCAAAAAGCCCATAAAATATGCAGAAGAGACGCCCAGAGGGTGTCTTTGGAGAAACATTTCCATAACCTAAAAGAGATAAGTATGTGCTCCGTCTGTTCTTGTTGAAGAGAATTCAAGGCAGTTCTACCTATGCACAAAACATTATTTGGGTTCCTGCTGTATCAAACACTCCTTATTTCACCTATAAGAGCTTTAGTTTACTCCAGATGCTGATCTTCTGAATATGGATGCCTTCCAATTCTGCTCTAGCAAACATATATTCCATTGATGCAAGCCAAGAGGATTACTGCACTCCAAGTGTTTCCTAGATTTTGTACATCATTTTCTTGACGAGATGGGATAGATATGAAATAAACTTCATCTTAAAACTTCTAATATGATCCCCAACCTTAAGCAGCACTATTAGAAACTTGACTGATTCAATTTTATAGAATAAAAATTTAAAATTCAGTCTGAAGTTAGCTTCCACGTGAAAGATCCACTATACACATTTAACTTGTGACTACCTGGTAGCTTGGCAGGGGAAGAGCTTGGGAGTTAAGTGCAAAGCAAGGAAGTGCAAGGTATGTCAACTGAATTTAGTTCTTTGCTGGTCACAGAAGCCAACAGGGCATTACAGACTCAGGCTCTAAAATCAGCAGCCTATTTTCTGTACTTCTGCCAGAGCTTTCTTATATAGGTGTGTTATCCTTCAGTGTTTTGTCATAAGTTATAATATAAGCTGGGTATTGTGAGTTTCAAATAATAAAGAAAACCACAGTACTGCATATGATTTAACAGTAAGACTCCTATTTCTGTATACATCCAGCCTTGTCTGGTTATTTTGCATTCTTTTTTTTTTTTTTTTTTTTTTGCACTGTAGGTGTAGCAAGGAAGAATTCTTTCAGTGCAGAGGGTTTTACAACCACAAATCAGTAGTGATATTTAAAAGACAACAGTTGTTCTGCTTCACCTTCTTTGAAGAGACAGATAAAAAGTCCAGATTGTTCTGCAAGCCAGGAACACTGATAATCCAGTAGCTTCGGAGGATGCATCTGTGTAACAGGACAGCTATACAAAAACCTCATATGCACTCGCTTTAGGCATTAGTTTAATGGAATGCTTTGTTATGCTTTTGTTTTGGGATTTTATGATTTGGAAATTAAAGTGCATGAATCAGTGCAACTGGAATGACACCAGTCATCCCCAACTGCACCTTAAATTCATTACTTATTGGAAAGGCACACTTTTCTGTATGCCCATGGAGAGAATGCCAAAAAACTCATTTTTTCCTTCTATGAATCTGCAGGTGAACTCGTACTTTAGGCAACAGTTAGGAGAGTTGACATGGTAAATACTTACCGATTGTAGTGATTACAGTAGCAGCAAAGATCACAGCGTTAGGCCAATTCCAGTTGTTGAAGGTATTGTTCCCAGTAATGGCAACCCCCTCTCCAGCAGCATCTGACACAATCTGAAAGCAAACAGTTTAACAGTCAATCTTGAAAAATGCTGGCAGCCTAAAAAAGAAATGTTTGTCCCTCTCAGGTTTTCGCCCTTTGTTCATACTTTGAAAAATTATCCAGTTTTTTGCAAAGGTAAGCCTAGTATATTCACTAAAAATAATTTTATGAAATACTAAAAACCTGCTTCACATAAGGAAAAGTAATGCAAGTGCTCTGACATTTAGATAGGGAGTTTTAATTAGATAAACTTTTACTTGATTTACCAGTTTAAACCAGATGGATCTCTTCCAGAGACCAAATATACTCTTCCAGACTGAACTAGCATTTAATCTCCAGTGCAGATCTTGAATTTGGTTTAATATTAGAGACATCTTCAGAACTACTATCCATTTCAAAACACTTGTTACATGCCTCAGCTTGACTTGGGTATGAGCAGGATGTCACAGAATCCTTGGCAAAGGTAGTGCGATTCATGTTAATTCACCTGCTGTCTCTGGCAAAGTCAAACCATCTACAAGCCAACAATAAAACTGTACTTTTCAAAGACGGAGAAAGTAACACTTTGTCAAAGCATTTCATGCAACAGGATTCCAGTCATTGTCCTTGAATCAGGACCTTTTCTCATCTCACGTTTAATCTAGTATGCCATGATGCATGCACGGCACTCGTTAACAATGTTTTAGAGAAATAAACGAGATCATTATCATTTCCACAGGTTCTGCAAGTCAATTTTTTAACAGTTGCTCGGGTCTTCAGGTGCTCAGGAATGCTTAACCACCTTCACCTTTTGCAGGAAGGGACTTGGAAGAACTAGCTTCCCCCCCTTTTCTAAAACTACATTGTAGAAAACAAATTGAGAAAAATTATTACTATTCAGTGCAGAAAGTGAAAGTTTCAGATCCAAACCATGCATTTGGACGATTCTGGCATGCGTTTCTACCTCTCTGAAGTAAAAGAAAAAACCCAGATTTACCATATTCTCTCCTGGAATTCTCTAGTTATTTCAGTCTTTGCTCTGTCACATCATGATGCAGTTAAAGCCTTTCCCAGGTTACTTTGCTTTTTTCCCTTCAGCGTAAACACTGAGCAGAACTCTGAGGTTCCATCCTTACACAGGAGGAGTGAAAATACCCCCAAATGTTGATTCATAACATTATCCCACTGTCCCTGTTTCCCTCTCAGTAAATGTTATATACAAAAACTATCTTAGGAGCAAGCACCTAAAAAATTGGAGGCAATATACTTTAAAAAAAAAAAAATAAATAAATTACCATGACAGGTGACATTTATCTTAAACTGGCAAGAACTTACTGATATAACTACAACCAGCTCTTCCTTCCCCCTCATCCCTTCCTTCCTTTCTACTTGATTAAGATCTGATCTTGGACCCAGAAAAGATTCAACACAAAGTTCAATCACTGCTGAAAACATACACAAGTTAACACAAGTTTTAATTATTCTTGAGACTTATTACATATCACCACACTCCTACTGTACAAAAAAATGCCCTCAAATGAATGTATTGTGCATATACAAGATGCAAACAATGTAATTAAAAATGCAGTTTCAACTCACAAGCTGTTATGGAAGATAAAAGGAGAAGCATTGAAAGTAAACAACGGTACAGAACTACTTTTTTTTTTTCTCCTGGCACACTCAAAGTGCAGACAGTGTCTTTCCAAAGCCTACAGGCTCTGGGTAGAAAAGGGCAGAGTTCTCACCAAGGCACTCATTTATCATGAGAAACTGGTGTACAAAAGAGAAGTAGCTCTATAACAGGCAGGTTTAGAGCAGGCAACTAAACACACAATGCCACCTCCCTTTCAAAACAAACAAACAAACAAACAAACTTAAGGCAGCTACAGTGGATCATGAGAGTTCATCTGAATAGAGACCAATTAAAGTAACATCACTCATTTCTGCCACGTTCTGCAGATGAAATTCCTAAAAGTCCCAAATGACATCCAGAATACCTGACAAACACAATGTGTTATCTATTATCCCTGAAAAGATGGCTTGACTTCTTCCACTGCCTAAATGTTACACCAAACGCCAATTCTCTTGTCATTTTCCATTCCATAAGCGTAGTTGGGGTTTTTTTGCAGTTTTTTTCAGTTGTTGTTTCCTCACAGAGCAACTGATCTCATAAGAGACACAGTGAAGTATCTGTTTCCATTGTCACAGGGCCATTATCTCATTGCATTACTCCACCTTCGGTCTGATCTAATGAGCTCAGTTTCCCAGTACATACAGCTGTGTTAAGATCTGCCAGCATTTGAGGTCTGGAGGTGTGAAGGGGGCCCAGATCTGAGGGGAAGGAGCTGCTGGACTGAGCAGCACACAGCTGCCCTTCACACCCCGGCAGCTAAGATTTTGGGGGAGAGATGGACAGCTCTCCAAGTCATACAAACTCTTTGTATAAAAGAGACCCACAGATAATTCTCCTGACAAAGCTGCCACCCTCTTCCTGTCCCTATTTGCACACAGCTATCGGCCATTAGCACACAATTAGCTATGATCTGTAGTCCAGTCTTTTAAGTTACTTTAAGCCTGCATGCGCTCTATGTATCCCAGCTGCAGGAACAAAGATGGTCACAAAACATGCTTAGTTAGCTTTGGTGCAATGGGAAATACGTAGCTGCTTTCCAAGCAGCATAACTTTTGCCCATACTGAAATAATTAAATATTTTGGCTCCAGCAAACAGTGTGAGTGGACACCATACAACAGAGTGGCAAACATGGGTTTTTTTTTGCTTGGCAAATCTTTTAGGCAATGCCTTTATTTTCGTATACTAGGATACAGAATTCCCTGAGTTTAGCTGTGCTTTATTTCTTAAACTACAGAAAATTTCTTCCAAAAAGTCTTTGGATTGGAAAATAGGGGGCAAGGAGGGAGAGGAAGAAGAGGGAAGGTGTGCTCTTATTATTTTGAAAGATGTAATTTAGAAAGTATCTTCTCAAATATGCCTAAATGCAAAAGTTAAAAATAGTTTACTAATTCGGAATTTATACATAACCTTAGATCTCAACTCATGACAGCTCATACTGATAAAGGCATGACTTTATTTTCTGTTCAATTACTTTTGCCTCACAGGAATTAAACCCACTCTTCTCCCTCACTCCCCACTACTCTAATTCTGCATTTTGACAAAGGAAAAAGGGAAAAAAGTTCTAGAGACTCTGTTTGAGAGTTAACTCTGGTTATTGTTGAAAGTTAAACAGACTTGTAATCGCAGATAGAGATTTAACACACATGAAATTACTACATCTTCTGATTACATTAACACAAGTAGAAAAGGGGACGTAATTTGAATACAATCAAGCAGACAATATGCTACATTTGCACGGTACATCCCCACTACAACCCCCAGCACTGCTCCAATACAGCCTTGTGTTTCCTGAGTTTGGTGACTTTTTTATCAACCCTCTGATGACCAAGTTCACAAGAATAGTTGTTAAATGCCCTTTATTTTGGGCGAAGAAGAATTTATCTCAGATGCTTTTGGCACATGCCACTTGAATCCCCTCTGTAACAGTAACAGTAGAGCTGAAAAGTTCTCAAACCAAATTTGAAAATAGCAAGGAGAGAAGCCCTGACCCATATAGGTCACCCACCATTAGTGATTTTATCCTAAGAGTTAAGGAGTGTGAAAAAGCTGTGATACAGGTTTTGCATAACAAGTAGGAATAATTTAATATTTGGCATGAAATCTTTGATACTTTAGTAAGGAATAGCTGGGTCTGATAACAATAAGCAACAGGAAAGTAAAAGCTCTTTGGGGTACATATGGCCAGACAGATACATCAAACTAAAGATGTGAGACAATAAACAGGCTATGTATAAACAAGAGCAACAGATCCTACCCCACAGGCACCCTATTACATACAGGAAGAACAACCAGATACTGCTCAGTGACAGGTCTCTTTTGAAGAGGCTAAAACCTCCCATGTTATTTAAAGCATTCCCTAGAGATCTGACATATAAGTCCAATGGCAGTTTTAAGATTCTCCCAGTAGTATGAACAATTCTCTTTTGAAATGCTGTTTTTCTGTAAAGAAAGGAGATGTAATTGAACTATTAAGCCTGAAATGAGAACCAGTGTCTTTCATTCTACTCTCAACAGTATTACCATGTCATGGAGAATCACAGCTGGCTGCTACATCCCAAAGCAGAATCCATTAAAGCAATAACTGATGCATCCTTTCAGAACTCCTAGGCTTTGTCCTCACTCCTGACTCTGAAATAACAGAGTAATTTTGCTTCTTTCTCAAGTTCTTTTATCAAGGACGTAAAGATTTAATGTGCCGAAAAATCACTGAGAATTGCAAATCTACTTTAAAGACTTTCCTATAAGGAATAAAAACTTCAACAGCAATCTCTTTTCACATGGACACCTAAATCTTTTATACAATTTGAAGAAACCAGGCAGTAGTTATCTAATCATGGGTACATACAATACTGACAACTTAGCCAATCATAATAAAATTGTCCAGGGTAATAAAGTTTAAATTTATACTATCAGATAATATAAAGTCATATAATAATAAAAAGTCATATAATGCTGTTCATCTTTAAACAGATTTCAGTTTTAACCAAATCTAGTAGCAGCAGGGCAAAAAGATAGATGAAGATACAAGCAGTTGTATGAACAAAAAGCCTAAAGTAACTTTTATGTTATTTAAAAAATACATAAACAATTAAAATCTATGCCATGCAAATTGCACAGCCTTTCACTTGTCTCACATGGGTTTTCCAGTTATCTAGGTTTTTTGGCTCCAGCTAAAGTTACAGTAGCAGTCAGCTGTTTACAATAATCATATTTTTAAATGCAATCAAAACATCTTTAATTGCTAATACTCATCTTTCAAATAATAAAAAACTTGAGTCACATGTTAAGACTCCCAGATCAGATACACACTAAAAAGTTCTGCTCACCTAGATAATATGTTGTCTCAGGATGGATTACATGCACATAAAGAGAAAAGAAACCCCCTCAGTCAGTACCCA